CACTGCTGAGGGGAGTGGTATGGAGACAGGAGAGGTCTGCCGCACCATGTGGGTCAGCTCTGGGGCCGGGAATCGAACTCGCACTGAAGCAGTTGCAGCTAGCTTGCAGTTCTGTTTCCTAACCGGTGCGCCACCAGGGAGGACCCTAAAAGACTTTATTTTTATATAGTTTTAAGAATTTAGCACATAAAGTAAACCATGTAGGTAACCTTCACAGTCAGAACAAAGAATGCTTTTACTATCCCCCAAAAACTTCCTTTTGCAGTTTCATTAATCATATCTTCCTGTTCCCCCCTTAACTCCTGGCAGTCACTGGTGGTCTCTGTCAATATTATTTTGTCTTTTCAATAAAAGGAGTAACTTACTCTATAGCATTTCAGTTGACAGAAATAAGGTTTTGCTAGGTGAAAATTAGAGATGCGATGTTGACTTCCTCAAGCTTTGAGTTGTTTCAGAAAGTGCAGATGAGGTGGGAAGTGGATGCCACTGGAGATGTTCCAGCACAACAGGTGGATTCAGCAACACTAGTGGGTACAGGCATCTGCATTCTCGTTTATCATCTTTGTCTTGTGTAAATGAGCAAGGGAATGAGCTACATCAAATCTGTCATATTAAAAAAAAAAACTAGCATTCAAGTTTTACTTTAATCCAAAGCTACCTATTTTCAATTCTGAGCTGTCCAGAGAGTTGCCAACACTTTCTTGTACCTCCAAGTCGTGAGATCTGGCAGGGCTTTGACTTCTTCCCTTGCCCCCTAGCTTCCTTAAGTCTTGAAGAGTCGCATTTAAGTCATTCCCCAGCTTGAGCAACAATATTCCTGGGGAGGGAGCAGCTGGCAGTGAGAGACTGATTATTTGCCTTTAATTTTGACAATCCCCTACTCAGGAACACTGTTTTCTGTGGAGTTGTTGCCAGGAGATTCTAAATTCCCGCCAGTAGTGGGCCCCTCCCAGGACCTCACCTCCAAGAGCCTTGTTCTCCTGCCTAGAGCTTACAGCTGAAGGCAAATAACAATCCTCCCTCTAGTGGCTCAAACTGAAACATCTCTGGCTCTACAAAGACCAGAGTAGTGTGTGTACACAGGAAATCACTGAGCTAATTCACAGGGTTGAAATTCCATTGCCTCTTACCCCACACAAAGGAATGGGCACAGGGCACACCTCTCAGTGGAACTAAGAACTCTCTGTAGGCGGTACTGCCCCTCTCCCCAGAGCCATCTGGCACTCACCCCAGTGGGGGACTTGCTTTCTAGTGATTAGTGACATTGCTATTTGAGGGGCAGAAACTACTAGGCTTTTTTTAAACCCTGGCGGCAGTCTTCTTCCCTTATTTTACCTCTCCCAAAGTTTCTTTTAGGTAATGGGCAGAGTGGGAAGGCTAGACAGACCTGTGGCCATTCCCCAAGGTAGCTGGTCTTTTTTTTTTTTTTTTTGACTACTCTGTGAAATGAGGATCTAACCAGTCAGACGAACATTTATTGAGTCTCCAATCAGCTGGGAAACTTGCTGCCCATGACAGGTATAGTGGGAGACAGAAAATGGAGCTCCTGTCATCTCCTGTTCTACTCCACCCCTCCTGGCATGCTGGGCAGCCCATGCCCATCCCTCCCTTCCACTAGGATGTGGGACTCTGCTACTATTCAGAGAGGAAACCCTGGTTCCTGAACATGACCCATGTAAACACCTTTTAGAAGGTTGGAATTTTCTCCCCAAATCACCAGTTTTTGCTTGTTTTTTAATATTTAAAAGAACAAGAACTCTTTCTGAACCATCATTAAATTGGGTTGGTCATCCCTTTTGCATACAGGAATGTAATTTTCAGTCCTTGTGGAGAAAGCCACTGGGTGTCTCAGGAGTCCAGTGATTCCTTTGTTACCAGAAGGTAAACAGAGCTAACAAAATCTATGTGCCTAACAACCTCAACAACAGCCCCAACAACATTCCTTTCTGCCTCCAGGGGTTGGTCTTGGTCTGTGGAAGCAGCACAGGGAAGTGTAAGGCTGAGGCAGAAATTAAGGCCATGTCTTGTGTGTTCTGCAGTCCATGGGCCTCTCAAGGAAGCCACACGTCCCTCAAGCCACATGGGTTTCTCTCTGAAGCACTTGTTATTATCCCTGAACTTTTCCTTTTCTGAAAGTCATTGGATACCAGGGCTTGGCACGGGCAAGGGACGTGCTCTACACCCCACTTCTGTAACTCACATTCCACATCTCCCACCTTGCAGAGGCCTACAGGGCTGTTCATACTTTGTTGTGCGCTCCTTTCACCACCAAGGCAGAGCCACTGGGCAGCAGCAAAGATTATTGTGGAACCTTACCAAAACATTTACTGTATCTTGGTTAATAGGAGTCCAATTCTCACACTAAAGTGCCTCCTACAACTTATCTAGTAAGGGCTTTTAATCTACAAAAGTGGTGTATGCCTTTGTCATTACAATGGTGGAGTTGGGGGGGGGTGTCCAGTGAGGAAGAGAGTTTCTCTCTCTATGAAAACTGTGCTGGGGTGTCCTACTGGGAAGTCAAGTGAGGTCACTCTGAGGGGCTTGTGGTCATAAGCAGCGATAAGATCATTCTGAAATCCTTACCAGCGTGCTAGCTTATCAGAGAGCGGATGCTTTTTATTCCACCCTCCTGTTTGGATAATGACAAGGGAAGCAGTGAAACAGGAGGAAAGAGAGGGGTCTGGCTCTTTAGACTTTAAGACCAGAACAAAGGTGGACTTTACAGAGAGCAATGTGGTAAGCTGATGGTGGATGGTCTCCGTAGATGGCTTTAAATAACCAGCAGGAAGAGGGTGGGGAGGTTTTTCTTGAGGAAATATATTTTTTACATTATATATGTATATAATATATATATGTTATATATATTATATATAAATTATATATAATACCTATATTATATATAGATATATATATTACAACATGTGAATTAATATATTAAGTAGAAATACTGGGTTATTGGCAAAGTCATGACTTATTTTTTTGTTTTTTTTTTTTTTTTTGCAAAAATTTGTCATGACTTTTCTAACAGGCTAATAATTTTTACCTCACTTCCAAACCAATCTACTGAGCTGAAGAGATCAGATTTGATATTGATCTATAACCTACTTAAAAAAATTGACAGGAAAAATAAAATTTCAGATGTTTTTTATTCAAAGGTTCTCAAAAGAAATAAAACAGAAAAAGCTAACAATCTGATCCAAATGTACAGTTCAAAAATGTCTTTTGGCGTTTAACAACAAGTCCTAGGAAAGAAAACTACAGAGTTATCTTGAACCGGACAAATAAGTTACCACTGGCAAGTTTGTGGCACTAGTAAAACAAAAATAAAAAATTAACTCTCTTGATCATATAGATATCTCTATGAAAATCTTTTTTTTTCAATCTGTACAAAAGGTCTTTCTTCATAAATTAATTTTTTTATAATTTAATGGCTGTCTACTATGTGATGTTTAACTGACTTTTTTTTTTTTATGTACAGAGGTTATGTTTCCCAAATCTTACCCAGACGAGTATGGCACTTAGTTCAGACATTTCTAGCAGCAGATTTCCCCTCCCCTTGAACTGAACTATCCGATTTCTGTCTTAACTAATGCAAAAATATCAAGTAGTGAGAGACCCAGGTTTACAAACGTACTAGGTACAAGGAGGGTGCTGCGTTCGGTCTGGACTTTCACAAAGCAGTAATATTCCAGGGAGCATAGAACCAATAATACCACAACTTTCAAAAAGGAAACAAAAACAAAAACACATTTTTCTTATGACTATGTAATTTCCACTAGAATCTACACTTCTCAGAGCAGCAAGGACTTTTGAAACTATGAAATGTCACTGACATCTATAATCAAATACAAGCATAAAATTTAAGAACTAAAAAATACTCGAAAGAAAGAACTGCTCAGTCCCAGCTCCCGAGCTAGGAGGATTTGGTCTGTGGAAACAGGGAGGACCAGCAACCTGTCCCGGCACAAAAGAAAATAGACTCTGAGGTAGATAACTGATCACACACAGTTGACCAGACAAGTACACAGTTTTGGAAGACAACTTAATTTACCATTGCTTTTCAAACGGATGCATTTGTCTTAATAAAAAGAGCTTTAATAACAGTGAATTATCTTCTATGTCCTAAAGTAGAAATAACTGTGTATTTATGAATCAGGAATTTCATAGTTTCAAAATTGGTTTTTCTTTACACTGAACACTTGTAGTGATGATGTAAAGTGTGGCACTGCTTGGATCCAAATCTTCCTTCATGCTTTTTGTTTGTTGTGTGTGTGTGTCCATACATCAATTAAAATTAGAAAACCTAAATGCAAAGGTACAAAAAAGGCACATTCTCCTAACCGCAAACTGGTCCGGCAAAAATAAAGAGCACAGAAGACGTGATGCTGAGACAAGCTGGAGCTACTGGTTACTGGCTCTTCGGTCTTTGGTGAAGTTACCTTTAAAAGTGCCAAGTCATTTTTATTTCTCAAATTTACGTGATAGAGAGAGAGAGAGAGAGCTAGTAGCCAATTGTTTTGCTTCTATTCCTATCTCAGCTTATGTTTGAAGATAAATCCTTACTTTTAGCTTTTGCCATTTTGTTGCAATAGCAACATGTATATTCGGTTTGCCAGATCTCAGGCATAATTCTCATTCTAAAGCACTATCATTAGTATAAAGGAAGGACAAAACCTTCGTTGACTCCCCTCCCCCACCCCCCCTCCCATCCCAGTCCCAAAGTTACCTACACTAAATCTAGAACATCAAGTTAGGTTTTTTTTTTCTCCTGAAAAAAGGCAAAAAAGACTTTACATTGCATCATACAGCAGATATCCTAAATCAGTCAAACTATTAGAGGAAACTGTTGGCATACAGCCTTACAAACAATTTACCCTATTAAAAGTTCCCCAGTCAGAAAATGTGTTTCACACAAAACATTTTTTCCCTTCTTGCATTTTACTACCTTACACATTATGTGAAAAATCATTAAAAACACCTACTACATATTTAAAAAAGCCAAAATTTCAGCAACTTTTATTGACTATCTTTTAAAAGCCCTATGCTGCTGTTTTACAAGGCATAATAGACCAGCTCATTTGGTCAAAGCATTCTACATCATTAGTTTGGACTAACTTTTACTGAAACAGCTACAGCATCAAAAGAGTTAAGGCAAATTGGAATTCATAGAAAAGGATAAGACACTTCACACTACGTTGAAAGAAAGACGGAAAGCTAAGGAAAGAGACACTGACGGCAACACTGAGTTACAGCAACACTCGCACTGCAAGCACAGAACACCATGGTGAAGTTGGACTATTTAAACTTCGAAAGCTCATTTCATACAGCTGAGAAAAACACAAATTAAACACAAATTGAACAAAACCACAAAAATCCGGTCATGCACTTAGATAAGTCTTCATGGTCTCTGTGCATACCCAGAAAATTGAAGTTTTCTTTTTCTTTTCTTTTCTTCTTTTTTTTTCCTTTTTTTTCCTTTTTTGCATCATAACATTTGATAAAAATCTTTTTTTATTTTTGTTTGTTTTTTTTTTTTTACTAAAATAAACCTGTTCAGGGGAACAGCTACTAGATGAATTTAAGGGTTTTATGCACCTTATAGAACTTATAGCAAAAATAGTTTTAGTTGATTTCATTATAAATAACGTTTTCAAGAACCTGTGCAAAACTGTCAATAATTTCCTAAAGCACAATTGATCAGAAAAATCCATGATTGTTCAGCCTTCACACCCTTCTTCATGTAAGAACACCCTTCTGTACATCTGGAAGAGAAAAATGAAAGACAGATGCTTTTGTACATTTGGTATAAGCATCATAGAACTTTGTAGTGTCTTTTTGTGCCTTATAGAGAGAATGTGTTTGAAAAAGGCTGTGTTGATAAGTGGTGGTAGCTCACTAAGTAAAAGCCATCTAGAACTCTGGTGGTCTAAGTTCCATAGTTATTTTAATGAGATCTGCATGGCATGGCAAAGTGACAAGTTTTCAGATTTGTGGTTCCATTAAATGCAATCTCAGATCTCTCAATCTATGAATACTGATATTCAATTCATAGTCAAGTTACTGTTACTCTTGTATTGCTGAAAGAAGCAATATCATATGCTGTATTTCCTTTAGTTTCCAAGTATAGCAATATACTGTAGGATTATTACCCTACATTACATTGTATTTGCACTGTATTGTACTACACTGTAGGGTAAATTTGATTTCTGGTATTTTCTGATATATTACAGGTTTGGGGAAGTTGGGAGGGGAGAGAATATAAATATAATCAACTTCAATATAAGGCACTGTTTCTGTCTGGACAGATACTTAATCTGCAAATCTACAAAGTCACTGATTTTAACACTTCTGTAATTTTGGATTCCTTCAATGTGATTAAGGCAGTGTGGCCAAATTTTAATTCTTCTAAGGACCATTTTGATAGAAAGTTCATAGACTTTTCTTGACTTGAGCCCCACAATCATGGAAACCTTTCCCTCATACCTCACAGTTACTTATTGGGTTGAAAGGTATATGGAGAATGGTCATTAGACGTCTCTACGGCCACCTGCTGCTGGCCACTTGCCTCCTACAACAAAGCATAACAGATGAGACGTGAGCAATGAAATTCAAACTCTACCACCGAGGTCTGACCGAGTCCACATCTTAAAAACAAGCACTCTTTAAAATGGCATTAACTTTTAATGCCATTTTGAGTTTCAATACTCCCCAAGGAGTAAAAATGTCTGAGACACCCAAAGAATTGCTCCTGCCCCGCTCCCCCACCTTCTTGTTCTGTCTGTCCATACTGAGCTGCTGTTTATCAAACAAACCTCTTATCTCCTGGGACCAGATCTGAGTTGGAACTCAGTATTTTCAGATTTTAGAATTTGAAGTATGGTCCGCAAATGCTGTTATTCACAGGAGAGACCCAGTGGGGCCAAGAGCTGTCCCTCACAATCGCATTAACAGGTCTACACTGTAAGGCATAAACCACATAGAGTAAGTATCTTACATCAGTTCTGGTTGGGTTCTGCTACAGCTTAGGTATTTTGGTGAAGTAGAGAGCATTTTTATTTTCAATTTTTGTGCTTCAGAACTGCAGATAAGTTACTGAGTGTCCTGGTAACTGTCACTGTCAATAATTGAACAACTATAAATTAGAAGAAAACAGTTAAAAACCCTTCTAAAAATCTAGCTTTCTGGGAGCTGAACTGACTTGGTTCTGCCTAGTAGGTGGGAGTAATGAGGTTGATAACATTTCCTTGGAATTCTAAAGCTCCTTTGCAGGACAATGCTATACTTTCTGTCCAATCTTAATTCAAATGTCAGAATTTTTCCATAAGAAGTACTGAGAGTTATTTAGTTACATTAAATAGCCTGTAAAAACAGTTTTCTACTCATACCTGTTCCAGTTTTAAAGCATCAGCTTTTTCTGAGTATCTCCATTATAACTGATTTCTTTCTGTGATTATTACTATAATCTCTGGTCCTGGGATTGCAAACTCTACCTTTATTTTAATTTGTAAGTATCATTTTACAAGAGAAAAGATAGGGCCTTGAAAGGGTCTGAACTGTGCTACAAGTTTGGAAAAGCTTTCTGGAGGTCTTGGGCCTGCATGTCTCTGTGCTAATTTGTATGCAGAGGAGTGTATTGCAAGTTGAAAATAACTCTTACGTAACGTTCCCTTCTAAACTCAATTCTTTATGTGAATTTAAAATTTCTTTGGAAATTTGAATGACTTTCCTTTTGAGTTGTATTTAGTTTACCCGTTTCTGAAACTACCCATTGCCAGAACTGTCCCTGGATGGCTGGTACCAACCTCCACCGGCACGGTCGTCGTCTGCACGTGTGTGTACTGTGGCAGGTAGGCGCCTTGCATAGCTGAGGTTGCAGGCATGTACTGGAAAGAAGAAGGAAGTCAGGATGGGCAGGACAAGCCACACAGGATTCTAAGTGCTAGGGAATTTTTAGAGGGGATGGAAAGTATTTGGAAGTCTCCATGCAGAACTTTACAGAGGCTATTTCAAAGGTTAATTAGTACATGTAAATTTATCATATAGAAAGCAGTGGGGGTGTTTTCTACTTGCTGGATCTTTCAAGCTAAAAACCCACCTGTTTTGGGATTTCAGTATTACTTAATGTTATTCTAAAAACTCTCTCCTCAGAGGGCCTCATTATTTCTCAGTATCCCCCAGAACGAGTGTCTAGAATTGTTTCCACAGGTAGAGATCCGAGGGGTAAATGACTTTTCAGATCTCTAACAGGTCATTGCAGAATAGGAAATGGCCCCCTGCTTTCCTGATGTGCCATTTTTCCAAAAGCAGGAGAGCTGTCTAGTTGATTTCATTAGATGTGTGTGGCTCTGACTGAAACTTCACAGGAAACTGCTGCTGGTTTGTAGTGTAAGAAGGGAAACATACTACCCCTTGTTCTTTTAAACCATGACAGATAGAATTGAAAGGAAAAGCTTGTGGCCACTTATCAACCAAAAGTTCAGCACATCAAGCCTGGTAGTTAATCTGTACTGTACTACCTTGTATCAGCTCAACCTCAGTAATTAAGCCAGTCCCTTGGACTTTGGGGTAATAAGTCAATACCAAGACCATGATTCAAAGCCCCTAAATTCCATTAAAGGAAAAGTAAGTGGCCAACATGTGTCACTTTTGTTTCACAAGACCAAGCTGGCTACAGAGGCAATGATGACATTGGGTGGGTTTGTGTGCAGGTTGCTATATTTTGGTAAAGGAGAGATATCCAGTGAATAGATTTTTAATTCATCAATTAACCAAAAAATATTGGCATATTAACTATGTGGAAGTCAACGTGGGGGTGAGAAGGGATCAGCCAGACTCTTTGACATCATAGAGCCTGTAATTTGATAGGGAAGACACAGCCTGCATTCATTTACCCTCCTCTGCCAAGACATTTGATATTAATTTGCCACCTACTGTTCCGGTGCTGCCAAGTGACAGATGACTCATCTGCTGGGCCAGAGGGCTGATCATAGATGTGGGCTGTAGTGACATGGTGTGCTCCATGGAGGGAGTTAACACGGCACCCTAAGGAGTTGGAGACAAGAGCAATATAAGACAAAGTGAGGAAGGAAGATTGTATAATCCTCTTTGACAAAAGAATGGCCTTAGTTTGAGAAATGTGAATAACCTTCCCTAAACTTGCAATAAGTATCAAATTATTTCCTAAAAAAATCTTCTAGATTGTTTTTTTCTTGAGACTTTACAAGAACATGAGGGGAAATCATATCTTGGCACTCACTGTGCAGAAATCCCTTGAAAAGCTTTTTACCTTCACTTATGGGTGCAACTTATTCCAGCAGGAGGAGCTATAATAGCAAGTGCAAACTATTTTTGGCAGGATTGGGCTCCAGAATGCTTTCTTAAATTTTGTTTTTAAAATAAATGACAGCTGATGTTTTATGTAGTCACAAAAACAAACTACACTATTATAAATACAGTGCTTTGTTTAAAAATGTTCTGTAGAGAGAGAGATGTGATTCAAGATCAGGCTGATAGAATGAGAGGATCACAATCTTTATTCACTCTGAGACTACTAGAATTTAAAATGATATGTTGGCACCAAGGGAGGAAGGTAGATTCGGGTTAATATCAATAAAACAATTTTAGATTTTTTTATTTCATTTTAAAAATTCTGGTTATTAACATTCATAAAATTACATATAGATTTAAAAAAAAAAAAAAAGAGGGGTTAAAAGAAATCGCCCATAATTGGCTTCCCTAATACATCACAGATAGGGTCTTACTGTTCAGATTTAGCCTTAACATATTTTTATATAGTTGCAAACAGAATACATAAACAATTTCATATCAAGGGTTTTTGCTTTTAACTTAAATTCTATAATAGACTGTTATCTAGCCCTGCACAGCCATCATTACCATCATTTGTAATGATTACATAGAGGTACAAGGGTTATGTAAATTGAAATTAGCTATTTCTAGATTTTTGTATTTTCTCTAACTTAGCCTATTTAATACGCTTAGGATTTATACCATTTTGCTGTCGCCCAAAGATGCAATTTATACTTGACGCATCATACAGCTATTTGTTTTTGGTCTCACTGTACGCGACTTATCCCCTAACAACACTGTAACCTGCTGACAGTTGTATAGTTCAGGGTACAAATCAGTGTTTAGTCACTTGGTAATTTGACATGCAGGCATTTTAAAATCTGGGTAGGAAAAAGGAACAAATTCTCAGGAACCTTCTTTGCACATTCCGTCTCCTCAAGGATTTCAAACTGACATATCAGATATATGCAGTCTTTGTCTCCTAAAGTTCCCCCAAAATATATATATCAGAAATAGTTTCTTTTAACACATTCCATAAGAAAATTTTTCTTTTTATATTTTTAATGTGCATCATCAAAAAGTGTGTGGTAACACGGAAATGATTCAGAAGCTCAAATTGGGATGAAGGAGTTCCCAGCTCCTTTTTTACATTTGTGTGTAGGAGTAACTGTACTAGGAAGTCCCTAAATGAAAAGTGGGCTGGTTTACAGGACAGTACAGAACTGCCACAGACATGTGTGAATGGACAGACAGACACACCTCATTAGAGAGCTCTCCACCTGCATTATCACCTAAACATGTTTTACCTTCAGCAACTTCCTATCCAGGACATGTCTCTGGACTGCTGTTTCCTACACATGATCTTACACTGCTTAGCTCCGCTCTAGGTGTCCTAGGAGAAACTCCTGCCTCATCTAAAGGCCAGAAGCAGTGTGCTTTCTCAAAGACAAGCAATCTGTTTTCAAATGAATTGCAATACTTTTTAGTTACTTTTTAATTACTAAAAAGTTTTGGGCAGAATTTGTGGCCTTATGGTCAGTATATAGGTCATTTGCATTCTTAGCTTTATACTGTGATTTTATTCTCTACTTTTAAAATTTCTAAATTCCCATGTTCGATGAACTGGATTTTATGTATCTTTGCAAAACAAGTAACTATACTAAGTATAATACTACTACCTAGTAAGTATAACACAATTAACAAACTGTAATATATATTTAAGTACAACATGTTATGTACCAAAGGTGTCTACATTAGTACTGATTTTCTTCATGGAGCGCTAATACTGATGATATCTAGCTCAAGTATGAATAACTTTATAGCTGTATTATATAGAAAATAAAAAAAGAGCTGTTTCATCCCAAATAATGTTAAAAACTTAATCACTCAATTGAATGATCAATAGAACTGATAATAAGAAAAATGGTGTTCTGCCTCAAATATGAAATTTAAGTTCTTACTGTATGCAAATGTAACTGAATATCAACAATCTATTTTCCCAAGTACTATACCATTTTCGGCAAAGGGTTTTAACCTAGAGAATGTTTTTTTTTTTTTTTTTAAACATACATAGCTTACTTGCAAACCAAAAAGCATTAAGATGAAAAACTTACGGGGTGCTGTAGGATGTATGGTTGAGGTTGCATCCAAGAAGGACTTTGCACCTGGAAAAGGGAGGATTTTGAAAGAGACATTGATTTCCACTGGAATGCTACTTATTTCTCTAGAACTCTTCTAATCATGTTAAAATCTACAGAAGGAAAATAAGGAAACAATACTATCAATGATTAAAAAGATGAAGGCAGTTAGAGTTCTTGGTAAACTGGTCACTCTGAATAAGATGAAATGATCATTTAAAACCAAGTTTCATTTGCCCACTCAAAGAATATTTACTGAGTATAAGGCACCAAAGAGAAAAAGGCAAATAAGATATGGGGAATAAGGTCCAGGCCCCACCCTCAACATATTTACTTCTAAGCATGTGACAACTCAAATAGTAGAAAGTGTTACAGTCAACGTATGAAGTAGGCACTTCAGGAATAGAGATGAATGAGAATTAATTGCAGCACATCTTATCACAAACTAATCCTTAAAATATGTGCTTATTTAGAACAAATAACCAATGTCTTTGATATCCAGGACATTAGGTTTCAGAAACTTTATCTGGTGGTCAACAGTTTCTACTTAGTGTGGAAAATAGAAATCTGAAATTCAGGTTTAGTAAACTAAACTTTAGTAACCATATCTTGACATCTACAGTCAAAAGGGCATCCATCCAAACAGCAGACCCTCTGGATTGAGAAATAAGTCGTGAGAGTCAGGTTCTGTGGCAGGTTAAGAAGCAGGTGCAGTCTGCCACTCAAAGAGAAAAAAATATTAGTCCATTTCGTGATGCCCAGAGCTTTCCTGAGACTGAAATTTTAAAATAAGTCAACAAAACTCTCCTGTGTCTTATCCCCTACTGTTAACTTCAAAGGTTCTATAGAGAGGATATGGGGAAGAGTCATGGGGGAAGAATGTATTGTGATTTACCTTGATAGCAGAGCCCCGATACTTGTTTTCTCTGGTTTCCTTTGCCACCTAAGGCAGACCAAAGTTAAGTGCTTCTGCCTTGTTAACATTTCAGTTATCTGGACTGCAGCCTTTCCCCATTGGGGTACTGGTGGTTTCTTGTAGATGCCAATTTCTCAAATCCAATTGTATAAGCGTATGGTGGTTTAGTGGAGAAAGGCCCACTCCAACAAGAGTGAAAGGCCTTCACTGAATGAATTAGGGGAGGAGAGCAGCTCCCTAGAGACCCCAATTTCGGCCAGATGCTCCCATTTTTTTGGCAAAGCTTTTTAGTGATCTTAATAATCTAACAGTTTATATAGCATTATGGGGTTAGGGAGCTAAGACGTCTGATCCAATTCTTTCTTAAGCAGCAAATTAGCTGCAATTAATTTCTTTTCCTCAATTTTCCCTAACTATAAAATGGGAATAATAATCTATGTTCAATGAACTACCAACCACTGGTTCTTTACTTTTGGGTCATGGATCCCTCTTTCTAATGAAAGAAACAGACATACCTTCCTGCCCTGACAGCCCCTTCTCCCCAACTAACTGCATGCAGACAAGCAACATTTTGTAAATAATTTAGGGAACTCACAGGCCACTTGAAAGTTCATCTACTGACTCTACTGGGTCCCTGACCTTAGAGGGTTAGGGATTAGTCTTAAAGATTATAGATGGTACTGCCTGTCAGGCAAATAGAATGAAATTTCACATGCCCCTGAGAACTTAAGCCTAAACCCATAAAAAAATCAGGCCTCTGAGATTAAATGTTTCCAGTTAGGTATAGCCACCTATTACCAAACACTAGCCTCCTAACATTTTTTAAAATTCTATGAAATAATTCCATGGCCAAAATGCTCACTGCTTTCATAGTAAAAAGGGAAAAAGAGATGTTGAGGAGAAGCCATTAATAGCTATAATAAGTATAAGCAGCATATATTTCAAATAAATTTACACAATGTTGTGTCTGAGAATAAGCTTCCTTGAGCCTATTTTTAAGGGTATACATAAAAGGTGAAGGTTCCTAGTTCAGATAGTTTTCAAGTATAGGACTTGTTGATACAGGAAAATGCACTAGAGTAGATCTCATTGAGTCTTGCACAGGCAAGGAAAACACAGTAATCCTTAGTCCAAAATAATTTAGAGGGGCTTTTAATGAGTGAACACTAGCCCAGCAGATTGAAGCACCAGCATAAGTAATGTAAGGACCCAGAGAGAAAAACAACTAAGTGACAACTTGGGGAAAGGAGGAGAAAAGATCCTAACAGCTGAGGGAGGTTGTGAACATTACTTGAAAACTTTAGTTTTAGTACATTTGAACACTTCTATTGGCTTTTCCAAGCACCTTTCATGTTTTTAGACAGAATCACCTTTATGTTTCTTATGTTGACCAATCCATTATTCTAAAAATATAATGAATGTACTCTTACCTGTCAGCTAACCCTGCATATATTAATGATAATCATAGCTAACATCTATTGAGTACTAATGATATACCAGGTACTAAACTGAGCTCTTTACATAGCTTATTTTGTTCTTATTACACATTTATGAAATAGAAACTATTATTATCCCCATTTTAAAGATGAGGAAACTGAGGCTTACATAAATAAAACAACCTAGATAATATTGTAGTCCCCTAACCCCAGAAATCATTGGTATACCAACTAATTCAAATGTTTTAAAAACATGAATACACAAAAGTTTAGTCACATAGGATCTCAACAGTCAATAAAAGAGAACTACATCCCACATGTCTGTAACTGAACTCCATTAAATGTTCATGTCTGGGCTAAGCAGTAACCCTGCTAGAGGTACTCTGATACAGGAGAAGTGCATGTACACCAGTGGGTTCATGGAGAATAAAAGCTAACCCTGCAATAAAACCAAATCAATAGTATAACCAAGTGTTTAATGAGGGAGTCACCTCATTTTTTTTTCTTTTTTTCCAATTTTAGTGGGCTCAAATATTACTGCATCGCTCTTTTGATGATACCTAATAGACACATCTTTATTTATTAGCATGTTTACTTGTTCTTTTGTTAGTCCCTGCTGATTCAAAATCAAAGGTAAGGGTCATGCCTACCCTATAGTCTACCTACTGCCAATTCTATGTTCCACTTCTGGGACACACAGTGTCCAACAGCAGGGTTTGTTGTGGAGCGAGTATCTGGGTTCATCACAATTCTCCTATACATGAAAGTAAATTGCTTTGTCCAATAAAAAGCAGCTTATTCTAAATTGGGTATCCAAGCTGCAAAAAAATTTGACTTAAATTTCATTATAAATGTTCAAAATTTTAAGACATAAAAAATGTAGTAGTGCTTCATAGTCGGCAAATTGTCATATTCTTGATGAATCCTAAAGGTACAAACCTGGTAGGCAGATACAGGAGACGCAATATAGGGTGTAATGGAAGTTTGAGTGATCATTCGGTTTGTAGCAATACTGTATGGTGGATAAAATCTAGAACAAACACAAAAGCCTTTATTGAGTAATCCTTTAAGTAGAATAATTCATGGAACAGTGTCTGATATTTTCCACCTTCAGTTTTTCCCTCAAGCCATTTTGTCTTTATCTTAATGACATACCCGTTCTGTATAGCAGCTGTGGTTGGGTCATAAGTAAGTGTCATTCCAGCCTATGGGAAAGAGAAAGAAATATCTGTTTGCCAAAGGCATGATTTGAAAATTTCATTTCTTAGATAGCAACATAAAATAGTGATAATTTAGTAGCAATGGAAAAATGGTTTGTTAGCCAAATATAATCAACTGTAGATCTGCACTGTCCCATGTAGTAATCACTAGTCATATGTAGATTATTTAAAAAGTGGAAAATTGAGACAACATGGTAGCTGTCTTTCAAGTGCTCAATTAGCCACATGTGGCCAGAGGTTATCACCATGCAGATTCCAGATCTAGTGAATTCTAGATTTTGAATAGATGACCTTTTCCTAGATAGTCTTCCACCAGTATGCTACTTTAAAACAGCAACAACAAAGTCACTGACAATAAATATAAGAAAAGACTTCCACATTTTCATTAAGAAACTGAGCTTAAAAAAATAAAAAGCTAAAAAAAAAATCCCTCTCTTATAAACATACTGTTTATTTTATGATACTACTTAGGATCATCTTTGAATAATTATATATGGAAATCCCTTTAAGAAATCACGATAGCAAAACAAACCCTGAATTCTGCTAGTTATGTGTAATGAATTGATAAATCAGATAGTTGTACATTCTATCTGTTCATCTAGAAAAACCACCATGCTTAGCATCATATTCACTGGGAAAAAATTTCATTTGACAATATTTGGGTCAGACAGTATCAGCAGAAGGCTCATTCCTGGCACTATTCTGGAAGTCTGGCGCCAGCTCAAGGTGCACTTGAGCGACTACTTAAGCCGACACACCCACACTGAAGTTTCAAGGAAGGACTTACAAGTCTCACCTCTCCTTCTCTGTGCCATGGCCTTCCATTAGGGATGTATTTGTTTGGGTTCTGTCTCTTCTTCTGCCCTCCATCCGCAAACTTACACAATAAAGGTTCTGTAGGAGCTGAATAAATAGGGAGAAATAACAGTGAAACCAAAGTTAGAGGTATGTGCAGATGACCAAATGTAATTGAATTTCTTTCTTAATAAGAGCAGTGTTAGTGCTGTAAGGGAATTCATAGACTACTTTAAAGCAAAGGTTTACTCAGACCCTTATAGATGATTCACTGGTGAAAGAGAATACAGACAATAGATTAGTTGTTAAACATCCGAAGAGCTATTCTGAATCTTCAGGTTCACTTCAGCACTTCTTTAAGTATTAATACTCTTCTTTACATGCTGTGTCCTCTCTCATTTTGCTTCCTTCCCCAACTTCAAAATGCTTCCACAGCATCCCATTACCACTCCTCAGCAAGTGCCTTCACTCTCCCAACTCTCCAGAAAACAAGTTCCCCTTTTATATCCCTGGTTTAGTATTTTTATTCGCCGCATTTATCAACAATCTGAGTGCGGTGATTTGTCTGTAGTTGTCTCCTGTTCATCAGTCTCCCAGTACTTAGGATCTAGCACTTTGTAGGGAATTAGTATCTCTGGTTTGAGTCAATGAATGTAGAAGTAGTTCTCATTTTTTATTTTTGGGATACAGCATTGGAGATGATCTAAGAAAGCTGAAAAACGTAAGCACCTATTTAAAAGCTCATCTGTGCCTTTAACCATCTCATTTGGGGTTGTGAAACTCTCTACCATAAAATGATCCAGAGAGCAACTCATAAAACAGACAGACAAGCAAGAGATGCAGACTATCTTACAGGGATTCAATGTCATTAGTTAAAACAAAGCAAGATTAAAACAAGATAAAGAAAAGGCTATGATATAGTAAGACATCCATGACTTTGCTTTTCTACAGTATAATAGAGTATTCCAGAAAGTTTGTGTATTTCTGTCTGTTTCTCCTTAATGTAATAAAGGCAGTTACACCTTCCTGTCTGGGTCCTCACATTCTGTCCTTTGTCTACTGTAGAACCATGATTACTACTTTCAAGTTCTGTTTCAAAGTTAAATAACCATGAAAAGAAAATATACTTGTGGAAAATTTACCTTTGCCTCTTATTATCCTAATTCATCTCTTATTTTCTATCACTATTACCCACCCACTAATGACAGGGTGGGAGCAATAATGCCTCTCAACACTTCTCTGCTGAAAAACAAACACAACACACACCCCAATTGTAACTCCTTCTTGGGGAGCTGTCTCGGCTGTTTGGCACCCCATTCTCTTCTCTGGGGTGTGAACTCTCCAGAGCAAAGTGAGCTCACTTCTAAGTGGCAACTGTAGCAGGTATGAGGAAGTATGAGCAAAACTGTTAAGGTGAGAATACCAGTGTCTTCGCCTACCATTCACAAAAGGGTCCTTTGTTTACCTCATGACTCCACCCCACCCCACCAGGGCTTTCTTGAACAAGAAACTTCCTTTTAAGGCAATCTGGTTTTGATGGAAGATGGACTGGGCCCAAATCCTAGAGTACAGTGCAGATGAACTTCACTTTGTCTTTTCAAAAATAAATAATACTGGCTTTTGGAAATTTCTACACAATCACAGAAAGTAAATGGATGAAGCAAGAGGGCTTTTACTCACCGATGATGCATTTAATTCTACAATTGGGCCATGTAGAGACAGGTGGAAAGAAGGGTGGAAAGAATACAACATTCAAGTAGGAGGAGGGATAAAGTGCCTGCCTGCTGCTTCTTGGTTTTCAGAACAAATTGAAAAGAGACCTTAAAGATAAGCAAGAGCTAGATCTAGAAAGATCTTAGGGCATCAAATGTTTTTGTCTCATGACTAGATGAGGTTTTAAGATTTTGCCTTATACCTTTCAGAGCAAGATATTCTCCTTGGAGCTGGTATTGAGAATACTTTTAAATTTTTTTTAAAAAGATTTATTCATACAGAACTGGGGTATAGGCCAGTGATGTGGAGGGCAAGAGGATTCACCAGAGATAGTGGGGAGCAGAACAGGCAGATCGACAAAGTAAACTGCTGAGGGGAGCAGTGGGCGGGTCAGGAGAGGTGTGCCGCACCATGTGGGTCACCTCTGGGGCAGGTGGGGCTCGAACTCATGCAAAAGTGGCTTAAGCTTCTTAGTGCTGTGCTTTAACCGGCTGCGCCACCAGGGAGGGCCCACTTTTTAATTTAAAAAAAAAAAAATCCGGAGATATTAGAAAGCTACCTAATAGACTGAAATTTAACTTTAAAATAAGCGTTTACTTGGCACAATGAACAATGCATTTTCCTCTATTAGCATCATTTCTTCTAAAGAAGAAAGTGGCCAGGTTGGATTTTTTTTTTCTGCAAATTCACTACTGATTGCCTCAACAGGTAGTGTGAATGAAAGAAAACAATCCCCAGGAAGTGCTAGAGCACAACAAATGCTTCCATACCCAGTGTCCCCCTCTGCAGTAAACAATTTCAAATACCTCTTCACTGTCTACCTTGTGCTGTCAAAGAAAATGTAATCTCAGGCAACAAAATGCCTGTGAAAATGTATAATGATGAGTTAAATATCAAATGAGTGGTGACATGTTTGCAAATATATCATTTTCAAATGAAACAAGATGTAGGTGACTCTTTCAAAAAGGAATTATAGTTACTACATTACTACATGCTATTGTGATGTCATTAAGATATTTTTTCTCTCTAAAAGCAAAAAGTAATTAAAACAGTTTATATACTGCCAGGTGTTCTATGTACCAGGAAAACAAATTTCTTAAAAGAATTTTATCAGCAGAAACGACACATTTTAAAGATAGTTGTTGGCTCCTAGTTTGAGGGAAACGGTCATAATCCACTTTCCAGTGGAAAGTTCTATAAAATTCTAACGGCTTCTTTCCTCTATGATGTACATCCTCTTTGTTGTACTTAGCTGAACTTTTTATCGAGTGCCTGCTCTGTACAAAGTATACTGCTGTGATCTAGGGATTCAGTGAGAGATAAGATAGGGGCTTTGTCTTCATGGCGCTTATAGTCTAATGGAGAACAGTGTGTCCCTGATTTTATGAAAATTTATTTAGCACTTCATGGTAGAGAGTACTGTTTTTAAAGATGCTTGCTTTTAATAAAACTGCTTCTAGAAGTAAAATATTCTTGACACAGGAACAGCTTTATTTCCACTTAACTGTAGCATTATGAGATACTGCTTAGCCCTGTAAGTTCTTGATGTTATTTAATACAAGTATTGTACCATATGCTCCAGGAAAGCAATTCAGGATTTAAGACATAAATGGGGAAGGGTTAGAAGATTTCAGAATTGAAAATTAAATGAAACGCTTAGAAATGTGTCATGGCTCGATCCTATGGCTTATTCCAAATCAAGAGGCTAGTGCTAGTGTGTGCTTTGAAGCTGCCTACAAGGTTCCAGGCAGAAGAGTGGGAGGCCCTGTGCGGTGTCAGCCTTTCCACAGAACAAATCTGTGCCTTCTAGAACAAAAAAAATCTTCAGGAGGAAGTGCCATGAATACAAGTAATACGATTACGAGTCACAGGGCCATTTGGACATGTTAACTTTAAAAATTCAGAATGGAACAATTAACCCTTAACTCACACAAGGTAACTTTTCTACATTAGTGACTTTTTACAATAGTTTAAAGAGTTCTAACAAATTATTTGTGATTTAAGCTATATTCCTGTCTCAAGAGTGACAAAAACTAGTTACCTTTAATTTTTTTTTAATGTACAGAATATATAGGCTGAATTTTCTCTTAATTAATCACCATCTTTTGGGTTTGGAAAGGGTGTGCTTGAGATGTCTGGTGTGATCACTTGGGAGAGATGCTCTGATTATACAAGACAGAAGTCATTTTGTCTTTCATCAGAACCAACAGAAATGTGTATCTTCTCACTACTAAGTCTGACTACTGTAGAATAACCTTCAGCAAGCATCACCAGAAAGGCAAACAGTGATTTGATATTTTTAGGTATCTCTTAAAGGGCCATCTAAGGTAACTGCATTATTGGATTCTCCAATGTCTCCTCAATAGGGCTCTGAGAGAGGGTTGATCTTTTACAGATGTCGCACTTTGTGGTACTTGGATCCCTCCTGAGACAAGGGCGTGGGTGATGCCTATGACTCACTGAACATCTCCACCAAGTAGTTTCCTTACCTGTCTTCTGAAGTTCAAGCTCTAGTGATTTATACTCCAGTGTCTTTCCTGGACATCCATACTGAAAACCACTCCCAGAATCCTGCTCTGACTAAGCGCTGTACATAGGGATTTGGTCTCCTGGAAGTCCTCCTAGCTCATAGGACTAGGAGTTTCTGCAATGTGTGCAGAGGAGACATTTTCCTCACTGTGTTCTAAAGGAGGTCTTCTCCCTGCCCAATATGCTAACAGCCACTACAGCTGGAGAAACTGTTACTCCCCTACTCCCATTTTTCTAGTTACACAGTATTTTATCCAAGCCAATATCCTGTAAAAGGGATAGATAGAAGCTTCTTCCTCAGCTCTTAAAAACTAGCTCAGTGAGTAACTATAATGAGCTTTGTCTTACTAATATGGTTAGTTACTTTCAAAACTCAACTAACAACATGCAATTCGGGCTCTGAGTATCTTCTTTTACAAAGTTCAGTCTACAGACAAAACAGTTTTTTTGTTGTGAGCAACACTGTTTTGTGTTTTAGCGCTTCTTGATTCTAATCAAATTCTGCTGCTTAACTCCAAGCTACTCTCCACATCCCACTCAGCTTCACCTATCCCTGAAATGATTTAACAGTAGTTGGATAGAAAACAAAACCTCACTTCTTTCCCATCCCCCCTCCAGAAATGTGTTAATATATCTGTTTTTACTACTTTTCTAAGGCTATATTTACTTCTCAGATTTGCAATGGCACATCCGTATTTTCTACTTTTAATCTTGTGGCTATTTCTCTACCTTGACAATTAGTTTCAAGAAGTAATGGCTACATCATATTCTGGCTGAAAACAGATCAATTCTAGTTTCTGTCACCATAACTAATCTGTATGACACCTGTGTATGCACCTTGGCTCTTTAATCCTGGTGCCCTCAGC